AACTCTATTTGGGACAGATGGAGTTCAGCTCTGTCTTTTTGCCTTTTTTCTTTGAAATTTTCTCTATTCACTGCTAATCCAGAATTAATATTGGCAAGAAACGTGGAAATTACAGATTCATGTCATCTCTGATCTGGTCTAGTTGTGGGCTGCTGTGGAAAAGAAAGATTCTGTTTTCCCCACTCCTGTGTGAGAGCTGGTAACCCTGTGGATGGTCACCTGAATTTATTGGAAAACTGACCCAGCAAAGGTGAAAGAGGAAGATCAGAGGGGTTTTTGTTGGGTCAGTGAGCCAAACTGGTTCATCCAAGTGCACCTGGTTTTTGGGAGGGATTAGGGTTTGGAAGATGCAGCCAAGAATGGTGTGGAAAGCAGGGAGACTGGGTATCCTCCCTAGTCTCCATCATGGACGAGGGAGAGAGGGACATCTCCAAGGATGTGTATGGTCTTAGGTTGGTTTCATCCCCTTCTTTTCTCTTCACCCCACTGTAGAGACAACCTGGTCTTTTGGGGGTTTTTTCCCACTTCTTACCCATGTGCCTCAAGCTTCATTGGTCAATTTGGGCCTTTAGCTGCAGCCCAGCTGCATTTCAGACAATGGTATGTTCAAAGGCATGTTGAGGGAGGCTGAGGGAATGAAGAATGGGGCAGCTGATTCCTGACTCCATCAAACAGCAAACTCTAAAACACCTCCCCTCGTATTATTTCTTTAATTAGTCATTGATTTTTTGCTATGGGGAATTCCAGCTTGGTGGTTGCCAGGGCAACTGGAGGTAGCCAAGGTAGCATCCTCTTAATATCCACATTCCCAAAGAGGGGGACCAGTCCCCAGGCAATGGGCTTTCATCCAGGGAGGGATGTGTCAGCTGATCTCCCTAATAAGTAAAGTCTTTAAGGGAGAGAAGAAGGAAGAAATCAAGTGCAGTGAGAAGCGTGAATTTGCAACAACACCATAACAAAGCTTTCCTCTCTCCCAGCTCATTCCCTGACCATCACCTGAGGCTTGGCATTACCTCTGCAGTCTGTTTTTAATGCTGGGGGCTTTTTGGCTGGGAAATCTCAGAGTGAGTTTTCTGTGTGAGTCCTGCCACACAGCATTGCAGTGGATGAGCATAGCAGGGAGAAAGCATAAGGGTATCCACAGACTAAAGGAGAGATGTGGGATCTGAGGAGAAGGCTGGCATCCTGCTAGGAGCTCGGTTCAACACTGGCTCAATGGACACAGACTCTCCTTAGGGTTGTCTCAGAATATCTGCCCTGCAGAAAGGATGAGCAAGATATAAAGACCAGAGCCCTGCAGTCACTACAGGCACCTGAAACGTGGGGGAAGATATCGCACCCCCAGCAGCTCCCATTGCAATCAGCGGGTATAAAAAGACCCCTAGAGCTGCCAGATCATCAAAACTGATCCCTGGGATCTCTCCACACCTCAGTAGTCATAGAAATGAAGAGGATCTGGCTAAACCAGCCCCAGGGTGGGCTGCCTTCGCCTGGTGACTTTTCCCTCACTATCCTAAGTGATGGGGCCAGTTGTTTCTTGTTTGTGGTGTTTCCCTAGGTGAAACTCCCCAGTGCTGCAAGAGGATCTAACTCCTCTTCCTTTTACAAGGAGATACCTTGGCTTCCTGCCTTTATCAACAAAGCAGCTTGTGGGCAGCAATCCAAAGGCATTTTGGTGCAGTTTCAAATGCACACTGTACACAGAACTGGAAATGCCTGCGGTGTGTTTCTTTCCCCATTTTAAAGAGAGATATCGATTGTTCCATACAACAATAAAACATGCCTGTACCTGACTAAGCTCTTTGCCAATTATGTGGCAATGTATGAGTCTCTTTCTTGGACTGGAAGATGACCAATAACTTTATTTCTCCTATCTTTTATCAGAGCTATTAACCAAGTGGCATGTTAGCCTATGATGCTCCATGCTGCTCCATAAGGGAGCTTCTAACTGGTACTAATGGATTGTATCCCATCTGCAAAGCAATTGCAGAGCCAGTAAGAGAGAATTTGTGGCATTGCTGTGAGGAGAGAAGAGGCAATAGACGCTGTGCAAATACTTCAGCTGAGCTTTGTGTACTGCATTTCAGCTGTGTAATGTTTTGTCTTTACTGCTGGCTGAAGTGATGGATGTTGCAGTGAGAGTCAGCCCTATTCTGGCAATCACTTTTGAGGCTGATCAGGAGGGGAATTCCCATGTCAAAAGGGGTGGAGCAGCTGCATAAACCAAAGCCCAGCATCAGTTTTCAATCTTCTCTCAATTCATAGAATCATAGAATAGCTTGGCTTGGAATAGACCCTTTAAGGCCACCTAGTGCAACTCCCCACAGTAATCAGGAACATCTTCAACTAGTCCAGAATGCTCAGAGCCCCATCCAACCTGGACTTGAATGTTTCCAGGAATGGGACATCTACCACCTCTCTGGGCAACCTGTGCCAGTGTTTTATCACTTCATCACCTTTTTCCTTTGATCTAGGTCGGACTCACCCCTGTTTTAGTTTAAAACCATTATCCCTTGTCCTACTCAGGCCCTAATAAAAGTCAGTTAAATTAGGACTTTGGATTTTGTCCTCTTACTTTTGTTCAGATGTCCCAGAAGGAGCCAATGAAGGTTTTAGCAGTGCTCAGAAAGAAAAATTTCACACTGGTGTGTCTTTGGACTTCCTGGTGCATGAGCCAGCTCCCACCAAAGCTAAAACAATTCCATGAGGAAATGAGCTGCACTTTTGAAAGAGAAGTTGGGAGGTCCTTTCCATATAGAGATACCAAGTGGGAATAGAATTTGGGAGAAGAAATACCAGTAGACTGCACTGATACCAATGCAGGTACTTCCCTGTACATGAGATATTTAACATTTGAGGTTTTGCAGTTTTAGTTTACAAGGAGCTCCCCACTGATGTAACTTCCCATGGTAATAAAACATTTCAGTGCAATCCAAATGCAGCTTCATGAAAAAATAAAAATAGTTGTATTTCTTTTAGGAGGGACTGCAGAAGCAGAAAGCTATGTCTGTCTGCACAGAACCAGAGGGGATCAGCCTTGATGTCATTAGGAAAGGGATATCTGGAAAAGTGTCTGCAGAGAAGTGCCCTACTCCCTATGCCCCCTCTGCACACATATGTGTTTTCTCAATAAACAGTTGAGATGGGCTGAGGCTAGGGCTCATCTTACCAATTTTCTATTGTTTCTATGGAATAAAGGACCCCAAAGGATTCCAAGCTGGCCTTCAGCAATGGTTTAGTTGCAAGCAACTTGGCCAGAGTCCCAATCTCTGCTCTCTATTTGCAGGAGGTCTGGGAGACACTGCCATATAACTTACATCAGTAATCAGGATGGTATTTTTGCAACATTTTTCCCCCTTTGCGATTTTTGCACATTGGCAAGTAAGCCCCAGTCAGCCTCCTGGGAATGAGAGCAGGGCCAAGAAGACCATGCTAAAAAGGAAGAGAAACAGATGACAAAGGGTGAGTGAGGGGAGATGAAGTGTGAATTTCTAGGAAATTATCTTGGGGAGGTGCAAGGACTGTGAGGAAGGAATCTCAGCCAGATCAAAGGGTGTATGGGAAAGATGATACTGCAAGGAAGTTGATGAAGTGCTTTTAAACAGTGGTGGGAAAGGTAATAGACCAGGGAAGCTGAGGTGGGGATGGGAACATTAATTTAAAGGGATTTCTTTTACTTTTTTTTCTTACTGAATGAGCAGTTGGCATGTGAGTGTCTCTTTATGGCCAGCAGCATAGCCAAGGACCACTGCTGCTGGATCTGCTTGTCTGGTTCCGTGTAATTTTTTGTTTCCAGCCTTCTGGAGACCTTGTTTGTAAGTCATGAAGAGGCATCACCCATGACTGCAGTAGGAACTAGTGAGGATAGTCCTTGCTGCCTCTGCTGACCTGCAGGATGCTGACATGCTCCTGTGTACCTCTCCAGAGACGCAGAGCTAAAGATTCTTTTGGCTGTCTCATGAAATCATGCAGCTGTTGTTGCCCACTGTTGTGTGGGTGAGTTGTTAGGATGCCATCTGAAGAGGTTCAGCAAAGCTGGAGGGTGCAGATCAGCTCTCTGCCTCTCTTGTGTGAGATGATGGAGAGAAAGAAATGTCTTGGAGGGAGGAAGGTCAAAACCAAAGCAGTAGAAAGAACTCCTGCTTACTGGCATTGTTAATCAAGAACAATACTTCCTGCAATTAGCAGAGGGTCCCCACAGACTCCATATGAAGCAAATTGTCTCTCTCCACTGTGCAGGGGGCTGAGCCCACCACAGCAAAGGCTGGGTTAGACTGAACAAGCCTTGGTTCCTCTGCTCTGGTAGAAGCTGCCACCAGGGCAAGGAGGGTTGTTTTTAGCCACCTGATAAAAATCCAAACTTCTAAAATTTGCATCTGAAGTCCAAGGAAGGGATATGTGATGTCCACTTGGGCAGTAAGGAGCTCACCTTTTCAGCTGTTAATCCTGGATGTTGTTTTGAGGAAATCTGCATTGAATTTTGGTTTCTCATCTCTCAATAACCTTTAGATAAATTCCTTTAGATACCTAAGGCTCCCACAGCCTTAATGATTTATCCAACCTGTCAATGCAGGGTCTTGAAGTCAGTGCTCCCAGATCTCAGGATCTTTGACATGAGACCTCTGCGTGCTGAAGCTTGCCAGGTTGTAAAATGACTCAGTGTTTGAGCTGTCACTTAGCTTCTTCTGTAGTCCAGTCAAGAGCAGATATGTTTGATAGATCATGCTTTAAGGCAGCCTACACCTCCTTTCCAATTTTGTCCTAATTTGATTATGTGTATAATGACTGCAGACCCAATTTTTTTTCTCCATTAAGTTCCCACTTCATGGGATTCATAACATGAGAGAAAAATCTTTGGGATATCCATGCTTTTAAGGATGTGCTTAATCTCTCCCTTTGTAAAGAGAAAGGACAAAACTGCATAAGTCAAATAGTAACACATCCTTCATAAAGTAATTTCTACAGCAATTAAATTGCTTTTCTATTGTCTTGTTTTCCAGGAGAACAATGCATTTCCTGGCCTGGTTCAATTTGCTGCTTCTCCTTCCTTGTTTTGGTACCACAAAAACCTGCTTCCCTGGCTGCCACTGCGAAGTGGAAACCTTTGGTCTCTTTGACAGCTTTAGCTTGACTAAGGTGGACTGCAGTGGAATAGGCTCACACATTGTTCCTGTCCCAATCCCTCTGGATACCTCCTACTTGGATCTATCATCAAACAAACTGGAAACAATAAATGAATCGATGCTTACTGGCCCTGGATACACCACCCTGGTGAGTCTCGACCTGAGCTACAACAAAATTGCCAAGATTTCCTCCACAACATTCTCCAGGCTTAGGTACCTGGAGTCCTTGGATCTGAGTCATAACTCTCTGGAAGTTCTTCCTGAGGACTGTTTCTCCAGTTCTCCTCTAAGTGACATAGATTTGAGCAATAACAAACTTTTGGGTATAGCTATGGACGTTTTTGTTTCAAAAGGTCAAGGCAAATCCCTGAATGTGGATCTATCCAATAATATACTCAGCACAATTACAAGGCACCATGAAAAGAGCATTCCCAACATCCAGAACTTAAATCTTTCTGGAAACAGGCTGACATCTGTACCAAACCTTCAAGGCATTCCTCTCCGATATTTAAATCTAGATGGAAACCCTCTGGTTAAGGTTAAGAAAGGAGACTTCACAGGGCTGAAAGACTTGATTCATTTATCCCTCAGTGGCCTGCATGGCTTTAGAGAATTATCTCCTCACAGCTTCAAGGAACTCCAAGCCCTCCAGGTTCTGGATTTGTCCAACAATCCCAACTTGAAGTCACTGACTGCTGAAGTTATCTTTGGTCTGAACTCCCTACAAGAGCTCAACCTCTCTGGGACAGGCATATCATCCTTGCCAAAGACTTTGCTGAAATACCTGCCTTCCATCAAAAGCATCACCTTAGGGAAGGACATACAGTGTCTTAAGACCATCAAAGAAGGACAGTACCACCGACAAATTGGGCTGACCAAAAAAGAAGTCCTCAGTTGCTACGACAGCAATGGATCCGTAGCAGCAGCACCTTATGTTTCATGATGAAAGCTGGGGAGAAGAAGGGGTGGGGCAGGGAGGGTGGGGGGTCATGGGACTTGTACAGGTGTCGGACTGAGATGGCTTGCAGTGTGCCTTTTGTAAAACTGTCAATAATTTATATATTTGTATTTGCCAATAGTTGATTGTTTGTGGATTTTATAAACTCTCGAATCTCAGCCCGCGTTATCTGCAGGCTCCAGATTTTACCCAGTGCATTGAGGTCCTCATTCATCCCGTTGGCTCAAGAGCAGTGGTGCTGGAGGATGTGGGGACAACTCGCTCTGCAGGTCCCAGGGCAGAACAGTCAGTCTGGAGCAAACCCTTCATGCCTCAGACATGTTTATAGGTACATCTCTGCAGAGCACACACCAAAATGTACAGCTTTGCAGCTGCTTGCCTACAAACCCATGCATCATCCTTCTTTCAATTAGTACTCCCCAAAATGTGCCTTCTGGATGTTGCCTTCATTAGCAGCACCCTGTTTTCTGTCATGCACTTTCAGTCTTGAAGAAACATTTCCAGACAAACCTGAATACAGGGTGCACCTAATGTGTTGGGTTTTACATGTTATTTGCATAGGTGTGCAATGAACACTAAGTCGAGACATTTTCCCACCAATTTCTCCTTGTTTTCCCACCTTTTCATGTCTAATTAACTTAGGTCCAGCTTTGGCAACCTCCTGTCTTTTTAAGCTCAGAGAGCCATCGGTCAGAGATGATGTGCAGCAGAGGAAGGGAAGCAGAGGGGTCTGCTGACAGCCACATCTCACCCCAGGAACTAGCCTTCAGTGAAGGAGGTTGCAAAGGGAAGAGATCATGTAGCCTAGCTCAGAAAAAAAGAAATGGAAAATAATCCCTCCTCCCTTTCTGGGGAGGCTTGGAAGGAAACATTGACAGGGATTCTTTCTTGATGACCTTATGAAACCAAGACACAGTCCTAGAGGATATGAGAGGAAGTTGTTTCCAGGCTGACATTCCCCATCTGAACACAACATCTGCAGCTCATCTGGGCATATGTGAAGCAACTTGCAGTGCCAAAACACTTCTGAGAATATGCCAGGGGCAGAATTAACACTGATGCCTGTGGCCCTGGAGCACTTTGCCTATCGGAGAAAAGATCTTTGGTTTTTTTCCCAGAGTTGTGGCATTTCCTTCTCTCACACAGCTCCTTGGTTGCCAAGTGAATCTGATAAACTGAAATCTGATACAAAGCCTGGTCCTCAAAGTTTTACACATTTTTTTCCTCTCCATTGCCAAAATGCTGACAAAGGGGAACCCCTCTGGAACCTCTTTTTCTCCAGTCTAGGAGGAAGTGGGAGAAGGCAGCACAAGATGACTCAATGCCATGTGTGAAGCCTTCAGCTTGCTTGTAGGAGCAATGGAGGTGACTGCTGAGGTCTGGCATGCTCTGCCCGGGAGGATGGGATGTTGTGGATGAGGGTCCTGCTCAAGCTGATCTGAGGTTTGATCTCTAAACCCAGCCCTGCAAAAGGGCCACCTTCAATTCTTCATTTAGGGAGATCATGTAAAGGTGATGCAGATATAAACTCATCTCACAGCTGTCCTTGGGAGTGTTGGAAGAAGCTCAGGTTTTCTCCTCATACCCCCAAAAGTCCTGGAAAGTGGAAGCCCTGTTGCCCAAACCCACTTACTCCATACAAGTCAGAGTGAACACCTAACTTTGGACACTGAAATTTGGTACTGAAATACTCCCACATTTCCATCTATCTCCATTTCAATAATTTGTTTGGGTAGCTTAGGGTGGGATTTTTACCCAGTTTTTTTGTCCTTCAGTTTTGGGGATTTCTTCCTCTCTACTGAGCCTTTGCAACATTTGACCAGCCTTCACAATCACGGGAAATATGCTGATTTTCTTAAAAAGGCAATGGGGCTGCCTATGGGCAGAGATCTGGAGGGGAACAGAAACAAACTGCAGTGCAAGACAGGGGCAGTTTGTGAGGAAAGATGTGAGGGTTTTACTGGATCTTGCCTTTTTAAGAGAATTATTTTCTGCTGGCAGAAAATATATTTTTTTTAAAGAAAGCTTTTTACTTTTTTAAGCCTGTACATAGATGAAACACTACGGTTATCACCTACTGTCAAAGTTACTGTCTTCTGTCTTTGCAGCACTGTGGTAAATTTAAAACCCAATGTGACAATCTAATTGAAGACTGCAAGATTTCCTTGTGTAATCTCATGCTGGCTGCTAGCTAAACTAGTCTTAGCAAAAGCTGGCAAATACTGTCGCTGTGTTTGTTTTTTTAAAGAACCTCTGCAGCATTGTAAGACTTTGTGATTACTCACAATATAATAAAGTGATTTGGAGGAGAATAAACCCAGATTTATTGCTTTAGAGCTGAGCAAGTGGCAGCTGTCACTGGGTCTGAAGTGCAACACAGCTTCTCTCCTTGCTCTGCTGATCCCCACCACCCTCATGGGTGCTGCATCTCCAAACTGGGGGCAGGATTTGTCCCACAGTGCTTGGCTCACTGTGCTCTTCAGTGATGGAAAGGCTTGAGAGCTCCTCTGGTTGACTAGAAGGAAATGAGGAACACATGGCAGTGAGGCAGCAGAGAGCATGTGGTGCAAATTCCCTGCTCCACGACCTGCTCCAAAGCTTGTAGAGCAGGTGGAGATTTGTTCATGGATTTGACCAGTCTGGGACATGGTCTGCTAGTGTTGCAAGGCTGGATTTGCAGCAGGTGGGGTGATGTGGGGAGACACCACAAGACCGTGGAAGTGTTCCAGAACATGTAGATGTGGTGCTTAGGGAGACGGTTTAAGGGTGGACTTGACAGTGCTGGGTTAAGGGTTGAACTTGATGATCTTAGAGGTCTTTTCCATCCCTAAGGATTCTGTGATTCTGTAGGGATGGAAAGGAGCAAAGGGGTGCAGAAGTGATGCCACAGCACAGGAAGCTGAACACTGCCAGACAACAGAGCTTCTGGCAGTGAGACACACATAATCCAGTCTCAGCACCCTCCTTTGAGGAGCTGGGGCTGCTGCACAGAGAGCTAAGACCATGCAGAGCCATTGCACCTAAAGAATAAATAGAGACCTTTCTGGAGGGGGTCTTCCTGCTCTTAAATAGCAACTTTAATTTTAAATGCTTCTTGGTGCTGTGTATAAAAGTGGTGCAATCAGAGACCCACTGAGAAAACTGCCTCTGGGAAGTTGCAATGTTCCTGTTCCTCCCAAGCTTGAAGGAACAACTGCATCTTCCACCCAGGCTGTTGGTTTTTTATCTCCCAAAATACCCCGTCCTCCAGGATGGTGTACAAGGTAGTCAGGTGATAGCCTAGGGTGTGAGATCACCAGGGAAGGCCAAATCTTGCTCATAGAACTATTATGGACTGTAGGGGAAAAGCCACCACCAACCATTAGAAATGACTGTTCCTCTGATATCCACCACAAGGTAGTGACCATGAGGCTACACCACCACACCCTTTTGGGGTGGAATCACTTCTGCCCTGGGGTGTGGGCTTAATCAAAGTGGTGAAGAATTGTCCTCCTCTCCTGGGGAAGGACAATATCCTGGGACCCATGGGTCTGAAGCTGTACTCTCCCACCTCCTTGTAAATGCCCTATATATGTGATGCTCCAGCACTGTGATAGGTCTTGTCCCTCCCAGTACTCCTTTTCCCCCTTGCCTTAACATCTTATTTGGCAACAGCTTTTTATTCATTATTTAATTAATTACTTAATTTATTATTTTGATTATTGTTAATTAAAATATTGTTTTGATTATTATTTCTTATTTAAATAGCCTTTCCAAAGTCCTCTGAAGGGAAGAAAAAGGCAAGCCTCTACCAGCAACATAAGACCCCACATTGCCCATGTATGTCCCCTCTGCACCAGGGGGCACAAACACCTGAAACAACACTGATGTCCCCACAGAGGAGGAAGGGCACACCGGGGCTGCAGGCTTGGATGAGTTGAGGAGACCCTCATTCAAGCTTCCTGTCAGCTTGATAACACAGTGTGATGGACACCTGGTGTCAGGATTCAATCCCCACCTGTGCCAGGACAGCCACCTGTGCCAGGAAGGTCAGCCAGGAGGGTTAACTGCGAGCTTTGGCTGTCTCCACAACCAGTTCAGCTCTGTGGCCAGATATGTTTGCCCTGGCAAGCAAGATGGGCGTTTTAATTATAGGCTCAACATTTTTAGAAGCAGGAAAACCTCAGCAGAGGCTCGGCAATAAGGCCAGGCTGGGTAAGGGAGGAGGAAGAAGTGAGTGAGCTTGCATTTGCTTGCAGTATTCTGTCTGCTGGAGAGTTATCAGCATCTCATCCCTCCTTCACAGCACGTGGGGAAAGAGAGTGAGGGTCATTTCCCCCATCTGCCTTGTGCCCAGGGAAGCACAGGACAGAAATTCTCTTTATTAGAGAACGTGTACCTCTCAGTACCCAAAAACTCTCATTTTCTTCTCATCAGTCTGCTGGAACCATTTCTCCTGGCAGTCAGCTGTCAGCCCACAGAAGTCCCTTGCTGACTGATTATGTGGCTGACTTCATAACAGCAGTAGGTGCTGTCCCTTTTAAAAATAGCTGTTCCTCTGTACATTTTCCATTTTGCAGAAGGTTTTTATTTCCAGCACGTTTGTTTCACACAACCCTGGCTTGGTGAGGCAGGAAAGCACGGATGCACTCTTTCCATGCCAGAAAATAATGTAGCATGGCTGGGCATAATCCTCTGCCTGTCCTGGGATCTGCCTCCTAGGAAAGTTTTGGGGCAGCAAAACCCCTTTTTGCCCCATGCATGTTTATAGAGTATTATTCCTGCATCATCACCCTGAGATTTCCTTTTCCTTCCCTTTTTGAGTGGACAAGGAGACCTGGGAAGCTGATTAAAAGGTGGAAAATTGGGGCTGAAACTAGGCCATCAGATAAATCCTTTCCTGTAATAAGCAAGTAGTTGGAGTACCATCCCTTAATCACAGCCTTTGTTTCCCAGCATTTGTATGCCTGTGTGCACCCATCCTCACCGCCAAAACAAACCCACCCCCTCCTGCCCCATCCCCACCCCTGCACTCACCGCCTTCCATTAATGGGATTAAAATAAAAGTGGTTCATGCTGCCACAGAGGAGCACCCTGGAGAAGGCAGCAGCACACTGAGGCAGTGCCAGGCACTGAGCATCCCTCAAAAAACCCTGCCAGACACAAGGGGGTTTGGGCAGGGGGATGTGCTGCCACCCTGCCCAGCTCCACCTATTCCAGTGGTCTGGCCTCTACTCTAAGTGCACCACAGAAGGGTTAATCAGCCTGAAAAAAAAAATCCTGGTAACTTTCCCACCCCCCTGGTGATGTCCTTTAACCCCCACTGCTGCCCGTCTGGACCTCTGCGCCACATGCTCCCCTCCCTCCTCTTCCTCGTTAGCAGAAGTGTCACAGCACTTGCTGATAATTGACTGGGGCCGTGCTGGGAATTTGAACCTACATTTCAAAGAGATTGTTAACCTCCTTTTCCAGCTCTTTGAACTGCTTTGCTTTATTGTAGGTTAAAGGAAACACACGGTTTCTTCCTCCCAGAGCCTCTTTTGATGGGAGTGTGGCACATCAGAGCTGGTGGGTTTTTCCCAGCAATGATGTTGGTAGCATGGTGCTGCTAAGTGGCATGTCATGATGCATTTTGGGGCAATCAAAGTGACATCAGTGTTCTGACATGACAGGAGGGGGTTTCAGCCAGTGGAGAACCTAGGAAGGACCACAGGTTAAGAGCTGCTCACCCACAAACTAGGTTCAGGACCCTCTGCCATGCTGGACTTTCTGGATGGGTTTGGATACACAAATGACAATCTTTATGAGGTGTGTTTGAATGGCTGGTTTAAGTTACCCTATGACTGCAGGGCAGTAGAAAGAAGTTGTCCTGACCTTCCTCTACATTACACAAAAGCTGGAATTTGTGTAGCCCTTGAAAGTATCGAAAAAAGATCAAAGACCACCAGTTTTCAGGCAGATCAGTGAGCTAAACCATCCCATCAGGCCATACAGTCACTAAAAATAATGCACAGCTAGAAGAGGATGGTTGTCTGCAAAATAAGCACTCCAAGTCCCTCTTCCCAATAGTAACTGGACTCTATCATTCCATCACTCTGGAGTGATGGCTGCATCCATCTTAGGTTCAAAGCAGGTGTTCTGAAGGCTCCCAAGTATCTCTCAGCATCTTGCTTACTAATAACCTAAAACTTGGTCCTGGCTGGTCTGCTGTGAAGATAAATGTAGGTACGACTGTGAGCTGTTGGACTATTAGGTTAGAAAGTGTCCTGAAAGACAAGCTCTGCATCACCAGACCTGTCACCTGCATTGGTAGCTCTCCACTGACCACAGGGGTCATCTTAGGCCTGTGGTAATTCTCAGACCTGTTAATCTGCTGTCTGTATCAAAGGTGAGGAACTTTTGAAGAGGGCATAACTTTTCCTGTGCGATTCACTGCAGGAAACTTCTGGTTTGGTCCTTACCTGCAGCCTTCTTTCCAGGAACATAAGGGGCAAGGTTTTCCCCTATTTTGTTCCTAATCCTAATTACTGGTATAAAAATTCTTAATTTTCCCCAGATAGATTCATTAATGGAATTCTTCTCATTTAAATTTTTAATGAAGTGATTGTTTGCCTTCAAACCCCTCCCTCCCCACACAACAGCTCCCTGTTTGTCACAGTGCCATGTGCGACCTGCATGCCAGAGACTGCAGAGGTGAAAATCTTCTTGAATAAACAGGAAAGGGGCAGGGCATGGAACATATACCTATGATATCCCATGAGAAATGCCTGGATAATCCATGGTGGCAATCACGTCACAATGCTATTTTTACCACTGTTTGTTAAATGTCCTTTGGCAGCATCCTCAACCTCCCAAAGCAAAAACTACATCACCTCTAAATTGGAATAGATCCTGTCCCAGGGATCTTGCAAACAATATCCAAAAAGGATATTGTCACAGAAAATATGAGATTATTAATACTGTGTTTCAGTTAGTTTTCCCCAAAACTCATCACAGTGTTGTACTTTTTCCTTGCTCGTTTTAGGAACCCACCATGACTCCATCAAGTCCATATCTACTTGGCTTAAGACTGCCCTAATGGTGTGCCAAGCCTTTTGACAAGTCCAGTGGTCTTCTGCCTTTGGAATTTACTTCCCAGCTGGGTTTGAATTTCCCAGTGAGATACCTTTTCAGCCTATAACATTCCCCATAAAAATATTCTTGTCTCTACTTCTGCTCCTCAGCTCCTCAGCACATAGAAATCTACATTCGTATGCAAATCCCTGCTCCACAGAAAAAGTGAAGACACTTGGTGATGCCAGGGACAGAGATGCTGTTCTGGGAAAGAACACTACCAG